CCCATCGCCCCAAACACAAGGCTACAGTTCTCCCTGAGGCCCTTCCCAGCTGCGTACAGGAGGTGCTCAGTGATGGTGCAGTGAATGGACGAAAAGGTCCCCGGCATGAGAGCTCAGCAGAAGGAAGTCACCTCCAGGTGACTCCAGGCCAAAGGTGGTGACAAACTGCAGCAACAAAGGGGCAGAGGAGGGAAGGAGGGCGTCTGAGAAGCCTTGAGGGGTCGGGTTTGAGTGTGACGACAGAGAGGACAGGTCATCGTGGAGGGCTCTGGGGGTGACTAACGGGCAGAAAGGCTCATGGAAGATGGACTATAAGGAATAGGGGGGTTGGGGGGCCGGAGAGGAGCTCACCCCGGCATCCCAGGGAGGTGACAGAGTGGCCAGAGCCTGGCCCAGCACAGAGCAATGGGCAGAGACCAGTCCACAGAAATGAGACTCAGGCAGAGGCTGCCTCAGGCCCCAGCCACTCACACCTTTGCTCCTGCGGGACAGCAGACAGGAAATGGAGATGAGGGAGACAGGGGCCCTGGGGCTCCACGGCCGCCCCTTCATCCCCACCACCCCGCTCCTCCCTTCCCTTCCCTCCACTTGGAGGACCCATCCTGAGGCCTCACTTGTGGGTGAGAAGCCCCACTGCCGAGGAGCATCCAAGGCCTCCCAGGATGCACGCCTCAGTCCCCTGGGCTGGGTGGTGACCAAACTTTTTTCCAGCCCGGGGTCTAGGAGCCCTAGATGGGGCTCGGGCGCCACCTGGTGGGCAAAGCTGGAACGCGCGGCGTGGCCACACCCTGCGTCCTGGGGCCAGATTCCAGCAAATTCGCCTGGGAAACTTCATGACCCCTGGAAAGCTGAGGAGGGCGGAGGCTGCTGTCCCTGTCTCCACCGTGGCTCGCAGAGTGTCTGTCAGAGAATTCCAGAAACCCTGGCCGAGGGAGTGGGTGGGCAGGTGGAGGCTGAAAAAGCAGAGGGTGCTGCCGACACTTTTCTGAGTTACCAGAAAGGCACAGGCTCTTCATGGAGCTAACATTAACAAAGCACTTACTGTGTGCCGGGTTTAATGCTAAATACTTCGTGAGCGTCCATTACTTCATTGTATCCCCTGTTATGTGGAGGCAGCTAATCAAGAGGGACAGGGTCGCTTGGCAGGCGAGGGTAGAGCTGGGATTTGAACCCAGGCAGCCTCAGCCAGATTCTAGGCTGAAGCACAAAGCAAAAAACACCTCGGCTGCAGTCATGTCACAAAGACGGTTAATCCCAAAGACCCCAGGCTCCTGCATGGGACTCTACCTGTCCAAACTCTAGTCTGTTGGTAGGTTGGGGCTCTGTACCCTAAGAAAGCCAAGAAAATGGACTCACCCCTGACTTCCAGGGCACGGCCTTCTTTTCATCAGCCTGAAGCCCCAGTCATGGGGTCGGCCCATCCGTCGCCCTGGACACCAGCCCGGGCTTCCTCTCCTGCAGCAGCTGTGGCCTGTTGCCCTGGGTTGTGCAGGTCTAACTCCTGAGACAGCCACGTGGGTCCTGGGAAGCAGACTTTAAATAATAGGGAGAAAGCCCCACTACCTAAGGCATCACCCCCCTTATTTCTCCCTCCACCCTCATCTCTATCCCACCCCCAAATGTGGTGACCATGGGGACTTACCACCCTCAGATCCTGAAATTCAAACACTCGGGGAGAAGCTCACGGTCAAGGAAACCCAGGTTCAGTGGGCAGTGCAGGGGTCTGAGGGCCAAGCTGGCCATGCTTCCCCGAGAAACGTGAGTCCTGCACCTCTGCTTCCTCAAGCGTAGCCGGGGGAGTGGCTGGCTGTGCCCTCAAAGCTGTTAGCTCAGCGGCTGGCAGTCAGTTCATGCTCTACGTGAGTTACTTTACTCTCCCCCCACAAAACAAAGTGCCCCTCTGCAGACTCACAGGCTTCTCTTTTCCATTTCAAACAACGGCATGCATTTAGAAACACTGCTATTTTGAAAAATATAAACACAATAGACTGTATAAATTCAATGTTTCCATGACCCCGTGACCCTCGGCCTCAGTGCCACCGAGGGACAATCTGGCAGGGGAAACTAGCAAACGACAAGCCCATACCCCACCTGAATGACCAGTCTTCATCACCAACCCCTTGTTCCCTGTAGAATGCAGGCCCAGTGCTGCCAGGTCTAATGGCTTTAACAGAAGCTAGAATTTTACTAGAACTGTAGATTTTAGAAAAATCTTCTGGCATCTTATGCATTGACTTCATCTCTTTGATGATTCAGTTACCAACCGAGGCAAATGCACGGTCTGAATTAGGCCTGCAGCTCACCAGTGTCCGCAGGTCAGAGAACGCCCTCAGCAGGCAGATGCAGGCGGCCGAGGCGCAGGAGCACCCACGGGTCCCACCATATCTGCTGCAAGAGTTCTGCCCGAGAAAACTGGGCCCTGCGATGAAGTCTGTCTTCATGCTCAGAGGAAAAATTCTTTCAAAGCGCTGCCCACGGGCCCGCTGGGGTTCTAATTTTCTTGCCCCAATTTACAAATGGGGGAAATCAAGTGTTTGCCCAAAGTCATATAACCAGTTACTCTAATTTTCAGACTTGATGACTTTCCTATGACTAAAGACCTTGCTGTGGACGACAGAGAAGAAAACTCCTTTGTATTTGTCCAGGGGGAACGTTAGAACTTTTCTAGGTACGCATACAAGACGGGCTGCAAGGCGTTAGGAAGGGAAGTACTAAAATTAGGACAGGACCAAACATTGAGAGATTAGGCTTGAAACTTAATATCGACTTACAGAGAGTGGTTGTGAAAGTTAGAATTTTCTCTGATAAGGGGAGGTCCTGCTTGGGGGCAGCAAGAGTTGCTAAAGCAAAGAATGAATGCGCCAAGGGGTGAGGGCAGTCATGGCAACGACATCCCAGAGGAAGTCAGAGGGGTTAAAGGACAGAGATCAGATAGAGGCTGGCAGAGAACAGAGAGAACAGACGAACAGGATGGCCTTGGGAGTCAGGTTCACAGCCGTGCCCAGCACCCAAGGGTCACGGATGGCATCCCTGGGCATGTACTGACCACCCCCTGCAGGGGGCACACTCTTGAGAGAAGGCTGCATCTGAGTGCTTTTAAGGGTCTGCAGAAAACAGTGCTTTAATAATGCATTTGCCTTATCAAAAAAGCAAACTCTCATTTTTTGAGCAATTATTACAAATTAGTAGGAAAAACCAAACACTTCAGTACATACTTTTATAAACTTTACAAAACTATGACAGAAGCACCAAGTGTAAAGGCATTTTTACAGACACCCAAAGAACGTATCTGTGACGTGATTATTTACTAAGGAGAGCAGCAGCTGAGACGTGGGTTTACATCCCCCTCGCCAAGTGCTGGATCAGTGTCAAGAGCGCCGAGTCAGTAATAAAATCACGCACCGAAGGTCCATCAATTTATGTAAGATTAGTTCTCATAAGCTTTTTAATCAAGTTCTGTATAAAGTCAAACAAGAACAATTGTTTGTATAATGAATTTTATGTAGGGAACTTTTAACTACAAATCAAGACATCAAGAATATAGTCATTTTTTGATTTATTAAAACAAAACTACAATTCTGTGCTTCTTACATTATTAACAGACATAAAAATCAATTAATGTTTCCAAGTAAGTGTTGCTCACAAAATCACACAGTGTTATTTCACAGTAAGAGAAATCCTTTTTACAAGTCAGTGTTTCTTTGTACAACAGGCAAACATTTTAACACCTTCCCTCAAGGCATTTCTGAGCTTTAGGTGTTTAGAAATGAAGTCAAAAGTCTCTTTCAAATGCAATCATTAGTTTGTATTAAACTAAAATGCCAGATGCCAAGTCTCATTCCTAAAAAGTGCTTTAAAAAACAGATTTACATCCAAATGAAGTCTTATAAACGTCAGTAATAGGTCCTGTCACTTCTAAACTAGAACTATCTGTGGATAAAAATCTACATTCAATGGTGCAATATATTTTTCTAAATCTGAATAAAAGTCTTATTTGCCCCAGTTCATCTTTGTGTTAATTTTGCTACTTTCAGTGAAAACCCAGGATCACTGACAGCTGGTCTTTCCATGGGAAGAAAGGGCTCTGACCACCTATATTACAGGTGCCTTTGCTCACTGTCTGTAGGGGAGGAAACATATAGCCTTTAAATGTAACATCTGATTGTACAAAATCCATGCAAACTCTGCCTCAGCCATCTGTCAGTTACTGTGTTATCCCCTTGAAGAGCTGCCTAACCTGGCGTTTCCCAATGGTGTCCGGAAGGGGGAAAGGTCCCGGGGTCACAGGTTGGAAATGCCGGTTAACAGGCTTCCTCGCAGAGCCTGAGCCCTCACTGCGCTGAAGTGCACGGTGAGTTTCCAGGAAAGAGGATCCATGTCCAAATTTGCTTTGCCAGGGACACTTTCTTCTGCAGGACACCGGTGGACGTCACACAGCGCACTCACCACCCTGAGGACTAGGGAGACGCAGTGCGTTTCCCCCCGGGGGAGGGAAATGCCACAGCCAGCTGACGGTCACGGCCCTTCCACATGGTGTTTGTCACCAGTTCTACACATCCCACACTAGTTCTTGCCCTTTGGTGTCCTTAAAACCTAAGAGATCAAAGACTCCTTCCCTTCTTCTGAATGACATGGAGCACTCCCATTCTGAAAGGGCGCAGTTTCACACTGTTTATTATTGGGAGTTTTCTTTGTTTGATTTTAACCTGACTCAGTCTTTCCCTGGAGGGCAAGCATTTCAGGTTCAGAGAAATGCAAGAGTAAACTGTAATAAATTATTTACAAGCACCTAGTTTGTTTAATCTTACGTGGAAGCCATTCGCTTTGGGAAAACAATGAATAAATCTTTAAGCGAAACTGCCATCGGGAAGCCCTGTGATGACGCGGGTGTTCTCGCAAGAGGCACTGAAGAGTGAGCTGTGCTAAGGTTAGCTCGAGGGTCAGCTGGTCTGGGTGAGCATAACTTTGGTTGAGATTTTCCTTCCTTAAAGAAGGTTTTCAAAGCACCAGTTAATTACAAAAAAGCGTGCATATTTATCCTCACAGTGAGTTAAGTGGTGAGAGCGCTAGTGGACCATACACCACACTCCCCAGAGCATCTGATTAGATTTCTAGAAAGTGAACCAGCGGGAAGGGGAAATGGAGCCAGAGAAGCAGCTGTCCCCGCTCTGGCTGGCCCAGCAGCGCAGCTCTAGCAGATTCACAAGCAGGGCGACGGCAGCCACGAGCAGCCAGTGCCAGCCTTGGCGTTTCAGAGAACAAAAGACAGGCTGAGTAACCTTGAACTTTCATTTAGGGAGTGAATGAGAGACTAGTGAAACGTCTGCTGGCCAGGACAGGGAAGCCCGCGGGGATATGGAAGCCTCCGCATGCACTCCGCCCGAACTCCCAGCTGGTGAAACGGAAGCTGCAAGATGAAGCCCCCGCTCCGCACCAGAGCCGCTGCAACACTGACGGTGGCCGAGTGGTACGTGAGTTCCTGTCCAGAAACAGTATGTCCCAAATGGGGAATCTGAGAAGAGTGAAGGTCGCACAGCTCGGCCTTATTGCTATGAGTTTCAAACCAGATATTTCACTCAAAGTGAAATATCAGTCAGTACCCTTCCCTTTCCCAAAACACAGAATATTCATGAGATATGATTAGTATTTAAAATGCAAGATTATTTAAGTACAAACTTCATTCTCAGTACTTTCATATTAAGTTCAAAGACTATATGCAATATTCATTAGGAAAAGTTCCTCATCCCATAACACATGGAGAAAAAGAACAATGAACTGTTAGAAAACATTTTAGTATCACTTGATCTTAAGAAATCAGAATTAGCACAATTGATGAACACTAAGCTCCTCGCTCACAGAAAGGCACCTCTGTATGAACAGACAAGTTTTCATAATGATTTGCCACTACGTGGCATTGGGGTTGGGGCACGTAACCTGTTAAATTTCTAAAGAACCATGGTTTTCCCTCAAGCTAAAGATCCATAAATGCCTCCAACCATTCACCCGTCAGCAGGCCCCCACGAAGCCCACACAGGCTGCACATTGCACAACTCAAGTGGGTACCAGGCACTGGACCAGGCTCAGCACACAGCTGGTGTAGCACAGGGAGCCCTGGGTCAGCAGCCTGCAGCCGGGGCACTTCCTGCCAACAGTCTCCCAGGCTGAGGCAATCAAGTTAGGACAGCGGCTACTTGGCTGGAGGGTCTCCAACAAATGGCTATACCTGTGAGAGGCAGGGACCACCTGAGGGGTGGGAAAGGGTACAGACATGAAACAAAAGTGCCCCTAAATACTTGTGGCCATTTAAAATTCAATGGTACTTTATCTGAGCAGAAGTTTTCAAAGTCAGTTTTCTGGCCAACTTCACCTTGAACCTTCCCAGCCACAGGTATTTCTGGTGCTAGATATTTGGTCATGCTATCTCCACCCCTGACCTAATCTAACGCATTTCCATTTAGCACTCCCTACGTCTGACTGCACAGGCCAGCACCGGGACACCTGGGTGTGATGTACACCAGCCCATTCTTCCACAAAGCCCTTTGGGATAAAAGGATCCCACTTAAAATTTACCTTCTACTGACAAAGATAAAACTGAAAGAAAAAAACAGTAAATGGATGACTCAACTGTTTCTAAAGGAAGATTAACTGTTAATCAAAAAATACACCAATGAACCCGACAGCATTAAGTACACCACACTAGGTTCGGTCTAGAACACAGCTACATTCTGTGTCCTTCACAGTAATTAGTCCTTAACAGATACTTAAAACGTAAATCTTTAATAAACTCCAAAATCACTTTGAGATTTCATTTTGTCATCTACTGATTAGGAATTGCAAACGGAGGCCGGGGCCCCAGAGTGTTTATCTGCAGGCTGCTCTGTCACCTCAGAGTTGGGACGGTCACAGATCCTCAGAGGGGAGAAGGCACTTGTATCCGGGAGGTCACATCAGGACAGGTCAGGCCTGGCTGCACGACGCACCTTCCACTTCGAACCAGAGGCTGGAGCCCACGAGGGGCCCGTCCATGCCCTTCACCTGCCGGAGCTGCAGGCGGCACCTACAGCACCACAAAGCTCAGAAGATATTCTAGGAGTTTTTGCCGGTTGCACTGAGGTAGGAAAGTGCTGCTGAGTTCTAAAACAGATACTCTCTTCTGTTTGGTCTCTTTGAAAACCTAAAGAGAAAGTTCAAATTAAACACAAAAAAAGGGGGCACTTCCATCACCAACCACGACCTGTGTCCTGGACCCCAGGGAGCAGTAAGGCACATGAAACTGTACCCTGGCTTTAAGCACACGCACTGCCCGTGTCTGCGAGGGGGTGGAGGTTAGCGCTGCAGGTGCGGTGTTTTCGGTGGAGGGCAGCCAATGCACTTCCCTCTAACATTTATGTTGGAATAAAGTCACACACAGTCCCTGACAAAGCCCACTAGTAATTCATCACTCCACATGATACTAGAAAGTAAGATGGCTGAGGATGCTTCTAGCAATACTGGTAAAAACAATCAGAACCACAGGCATCATTAACACCCCTGCCCACCTGCAGGAGCATCCTGAAACACACTGACACATTCTGTGTAAACAGTTTTGGAATGAAGGTGAAAACCAGCAAAACTCTGGAACTTTCAAAGAAATCTGTACTGACGGGACTCGCCTTCAATGCCCCCACCCATCCCCAGAAATGCCTTCATGGTTAATCCAGCAGAAACTGCTTCTCTCCGCGCCCCCCCCGCCCCAAAGGGAGCTCAGACAGGCTAGGTCTATACAAGAAGAGAACAGAAGTTAACACAAGCTTTTATACCACACGCAGTGGGCACTTACCCCAATATCCTTAAACATTTTCACGGCATTCTTCACGAGACAGTATGTGGCGCTCTCAGCTGCAGGGAAAGAATGAGACCCTGTGAAACGCCCAGGCGAGCAAACCCAGCATCCACGGGGAGAAAGCGTGGGGGCTGCAGAGATGAGAGCAAGTCGGCAGACGGCTCAAGCTCCAGTTCTGCTGCTGGCGACCTGCGAGTCTCAAGTGATTTGCTGTTTCTTTAAACCCACTGTCATCTTTTAAGAAGAAAAAGAGAGAAGGAGAGAAGAATAAGGAGAAAGAGACAGACAGAGAGAGACAGAGACAGACACAGTGAGACAGAGAGAGAAGGGAAGGGAGAGGAATGGGGGAGGAAAGGAAGGAGAAATACCTAAGCATCCGTCTTGAAGGGGTTTCGTGAGAATCAAAGGAGACTGTGTAGAAATCCTTCTAAACTGCACAGATGATTCCCACAGCAGCGGAAGCGGAAAGAGCACAAGTCTCGAGGTCAGAAGAGTCCTAACCCAGGTCTGCCCATTAACTAGCTATGTGAACAGGATGCCTTCCTCATCTAGAATGTGAGATGACTCTCTCTAGGTATCGATCTAGATCAGATCTATACATCTCTCTAGACTGACCTCTATCTCTAGATCCCTCTGTCTCTAAATAAACTACTGATTCACGGCAGTTTCAGTTCTAAACCATAACTATAAAATGCTACCCCACCCCAATCACACCTCTCACCCGACAATACCAAGAACCAGCCAGGAGGTGGAGCAACTGAGAAGACACAGCTGGTGGGAGTGCAAACTGGTCCACATGCAGGAAGCGTCTGGCAGGACCCACTAAAGCTGAACGTGCCACCCTGTGACTAGGCAATTCTCCTCCTGGATATGCACCCAACATGATGCGTACACATGTTCACCCAAAGACATACTCAACCTATGCAGAGCAGCACCATTCACAGTGGCTCTGAACTGCAAACCACCCAGATATCTGTCAACAGCAGAATGAATAAAATGCAGTAAATACTTATCAACGGACGACTGCAAAGCAGCAAGGACAAACAACTACATGCAACAGCACGCAGGAAGCTCACAAATGATGGGACCACGAAGCGAGAGGTCAGGATAATTTTGCCGTTTTTTTCCCCCAATTTCCTACAATTAGCTGATTCCTGTAATCAAAAAAGTTATAGATTTAAAAGGAGCCAAGCCAGCGACATGCATACCATAAACGGCAACGTTTCTCTCTGTTCTGGTGATGAGGTATTTGTGCAGCTTCTGCAGGTACTCAGGCTCCGGAACAGGGTCGCTGAAGCTGTGGATGAAGATGGCGGCGGAGCTGTAGGCCTCCAGCAAAGGGCCCAGGAGCCGCTGCAAGAAGGTAATGAACTGCTGGTGCTCCTTGGACTGGCTCACCTGTGCAAGAGCAGAGACAAAATCATGAGAAGGGAAAGAAACGGAACACTGACAGGGGAACCACCCGAAGAACCTGTGATGGAGAAGATGGCTGTAACTGTCACTGCACAGAGCAGCCTACTGCTCACGCACACGGCCTGTGCTGGAAATGGCTGTAAGTCCTGAAATGTACTCTTTTTCATAATCACTGACTTCTACAGTACATGAGATTTGTATTTACTGTGCAGCTGCCTAGAAAGAACTGTGGTGCCCGAATGCCATAATTATGACACTGTCATAATATGACTAAAAGTAGCCGGTCCCAAGGTTAAACTCTACAGGGTTGGAAGCCTGGCCTGACAGTCACTCAAGGGTACAGAAAGGTCACATGATAAGACCACAGATCATCTCAGTCCTCCCCAGTTCCCACTTCCTGCCACCCCCCACCTCCGTTGTCCTTCAGCCCATGGTGACGGTGTGGTGATGGCAAGGCTCTCACTGTACCCTCCAACCATGCACATTCAGATAAGCCCCCCTGTGTGTGGAAGCAAGATCAGTGCCCCATCTTGATGGTAAAAAAAACCCAAACAGCCCAGCCGGCGTGGATCAGCTGTTGAGCATCAACCCAGGATCCAGGAGATGGAGGTTCGATTCCCGGTCAGGGCACATGCCCAGGTTTCAGGCTCGATCCCCAGTGGGGGGCATGCAGGAAGCAGCTGATCAATGACTCTCTCATCATTGATATTTCTCTCTCTCTCTCCCTCTCCCTTCCTCTCTCTGAAATCAATAAAGACATATTTTTTAAAAAACCAAAAAACCCAAACAGAAATTTTTCTAAATGTCATTTGGAATCTCCAGAAGCTACCCCTCCTGACTCGTGTATGTGTGTGTGTATGTGTGTTTGTGTAAACTAGGGGTGTCATCCCACTGCAGAGAAAGTGTCCATTTAGAGTATTCAGAAAAGATGGGTCATTATTACTAATTTCTAAAATCACAAATTAGACAAAATTAATTCTTCTAAATGAGGGGCAATCAAACTTTTAAAAATCCAAATTTTCTCCTGTGATAGGATTTGTTTTCATTGACAGCAAAGAGCTAGATGTATAAAATTTGGAAGTGATGGCAAGACTGAGGACACAAAAAGAGCAGCCAGACCAACGACAGCTGAATGTTAATTCCCCTCCCACGGCTGGTGTGGTGCAGCCTTGCCAGGTGATGACTGAACACAGACACGCCTCTTCAGGGGTGAACGGGTCTGGCACAGGTCTGCACCTGCTTACTGTGGTGACAGGGTCATGAACGGCACCATCCAGGACATTCATCTTCCTGAGTGTTCACTCTTGGTTCCTCTCCATTTAATTATACTCGAACTGAACAACTTAAGGTATTAATTCAAAAGCTTGAGAGCTTTATTTCACTTGGTAGAAAATGCTGAGGCTGTATTTTGGGTGCTTTAGCTATGAATAAGTCACCAGGGTCCCAGTTATCAGGACCTCACTAACTAGTGGCAGCATAAACCTCCACTCATCACTGTAACGTCCACCAGAATTCCCCAAAGTACCTTCAGGTAGCAGTCTCGCTGCTCCTCCCCGAAATCACTGTCTTCATCTTCCTCATCGCTTCTCCAGGACAGGGGGTCAGGAAGCTTCTTTTCCCACTGCTGCTCAGCAAGACCAGGACTGATATCTTCCTGTTCATCTTGCTATGCCAAGGAAATAAGCAACAGTCAACAAACACGCACAGGCACAAGGACACTGCCGGTTGGACCAGCCACAGCAGTTCCTCTCATTCCCTCCCCACTTTTCTCTGCCAGCCATTTACAACATCAATCCACCTCCCTCTCCAAACTCGGAATCACTAGGGAGACAGCGAGGAGAGAAAGAAGGAAAGAAGGGGGGAAGAGCTACCAGACACATAAAATAAAAATGCCCTCACCTTTTCTACATTGATACCTACTTTCCCAGGCCATACCTGCTCTACTAAATTTACCAAAATTAAAACAAAATCTCAAAAGAGAAATATGCATATGCGCAAGCTATAAGCACACTGAGAGGTAAAACATCTCATCTTAGAACGACAACTTCCAGATCCGGAATTAAGTCAAGATGTGTTTTAGACACCAGTCACACAGAAGGAAGCAAATATTAAACAATCCGAAGACATTTACACTTCCCATTCTGACTTTTCTCTTCTCTTCATCTGGATTTGACTACATATCAAATGTAACTTATTGGGCCCAGCCGGGCGTGACTCAGCGGTTGAGCGTCAACCTGGGATCCAGGCAATCAGGGTTCATGGCACATGCCCGGGTTGTGGGCTCAATCAATGACTCTCTCATCATTGATGTTTCTATCTCTCTCTCCCCCTCTCCTTTCCTCTCTTTGAAATCAATAAAGATATATTAAAAAAAAAAAAAATGTAACTTATTGGTTAAAACAACTGGTTGTAACACTGGTTTAAAGAGTTGGCAGAAAAGACAAGGAAACAAAGGCAATGAAGGACAGCGATTCCTCTCACCTCTGCCACCGTGAGAATGCCGTACTGGAGGAACCTCCCTACTGTCTCATGGCAGACTTGGTAAAACGTCTGGCATGGCTGAAAAGAATAGACATTTCAAGGTCAATGTCATGGTCCTATAGCTCCTTTATTAGAAATAGAAAACACTGTATACAAGGTAGCTGCCAATGCTTCCATGATATCACCCGCCTCACTCCACTGGTAAGTCCTAAGCTTTCCGATGCCCATCTCCTGGTAACCTTCCTGTGGTCATGGGCAAAGCCACAGAAGAGACCTCATTCACCTGACTGGTGGCACCCAGTGTGGCACCACCTACAAAGGTGCTCCCAAACTCAGTCCCTCCCCCGCCTCCAGGGAAGCAAGCCCTCAGAGGGTTGCTTGTCAGGCCCCAGGACCTGTTTCACTTTTTCCAGGCCATTTCTCTGCGAAAGCTGTCACACGGTAAATGCACACAAAGTTGGTGGATGAGGCAACACAATATTCAAGTGACTCAAAAAGGCCCAGGGAGACTGAAGGCAACCTGAGAGCTTACCCACCTCTCCCCTCCCACTCCGCCCCCCAAGACTAGGCAAAGCAGATTCCCCAGCAGGACCAGCAATGTGCTGTATAGGAGAACCCCGTGGGGAGGGCGGTGCTCATAACACATATACTCATAAATGGCCAGGACACATTCATAGACGTGGAAGAGAACACTGAGCTTCAAAGAGAATATGAATTCTCGTTGATTTTGAGGGAAAAATACTGCTCTATTGCTTAACACATATGCCTCATTATAAACGCCTACAAGTGCTTGAACATAACATAAATGCTCATCAGGACTGCTGGGCCTCAGTTTCCCCATCTGTAAAGTGAGGAAAGGTTGAGCAGATGATTTTCAAGACTGCTTCTGAATCTTATCTTCTGTGGCCCCATCATCCATAAGGAAGCACGTTAATTACTTAGGGACCTCTGACCCAGTGCCTTATGCGGAATGACAGCTCAGTAACCTTGGATCTGACTGAGGCAGAACACTGAGCAGTCTCCCAACACATCTCATAGGTGCACGAGGGGTCTCTGGAGCAGTGACCCCAACAGCCACACCCTGATAGTCAACAACATATTAGTCTGGAAGTCACTGAGACCAGGAGTGGAATGTAAAGCCTTGGTAACAAACCAAAAATTCTCTAAGAGAAAAACAAAGCTGGTTTACGTTTTCATAAAAATGCTAGAGAGAAAGAGAACAGGCAACACTGAAGAGCTGTCACTTACGAGAGAGATGGTGCCTTCATTAGACAGCAGGTAGCACAGGCTGGCCGCCTTCCGCACCAGCTGCTCCTGGCTGATCAAGGTGGGGGGCCCGCCGGCAGGCCCGCCTGCACCCCTCTTGTTCAGAACTGCGTAAAGGCTGCAGGCTGAGGAAATGAAAGCATCAATGAAGCCACAGTCTCAGAGTCCAAGAAAACTCCACTGGCACGAGTAACTTGGATTACCTTACTAGACTGTAACATCGAAAATAATTATCTGCGTTTCACTTGAGAAATTTAAGTAAATCCCCTCGGGACTCACTTGTCATGAGTCCATGGGATCCCAACTCGGTCATTCGCCTTCCTCTGGGGCTTCAGTCCCCTCTGCTCTCCTCCCTGTGCCCCCTTGATCACAAATGAGCCCCCACCACTCATCACTGCATGTGTCTCTCCTCTCACTCAGTTTTTCAGCTCCTGGATAGCAAGACACCTTACCTCTCTCCCTTAGTCGTAAGTCTAACACTACGCAGTAATTCAGGAACTACTTGTTGAATAATAGATGTAAAAATAAGCTATAAACAGTGATATAGCAGATTATATTTTTATTTGAAGGCTAAAAATACAGCAACACGTTCCCTCAAATAAGAGGCTACCATCCAAATTGAAGTAGACACCACTGTGTGTTTTAGGCCGTTGTATTTTCTATGAAAATGTTTCAGAGCCCAACATACCTATGATGGCCTCCATGATAAAGACGTGCAGGACCCCATTGCTGTAGAAGTTAAGTTCAAAGACTGATGGGACAGTCGTGCTGGGAGTAATAAAAAACTCATCATTCCTGCTGGTGTGGGTGATTGTGATGCAATTTCCCAGCAGCTGTATGGCATGTATGACCACATCTTCGGAATTTCCTGAGAATCCCAGGTCAAAATCTCGGGCCAGGACTTCCTCCTTCATCACGAAGAAGTCCTCCACCAAGGTGGAGAGATCGATTCCCTAGAGAGAGAAACAGATATGGTCTCATGACAGCGGAAAACTCCTTCCCCAAATGCTGAGAGGCCGTACCGAGGATTTTTTCTTGCCTTGGCTTTCCTGCAGCTCCCTGTCAGCTCATACAGAAAAAGGGCCACATGCAGAGAAAGTAAAAAAAGAAAAACTGGTTAAAAAGCTGGTCCCCCAGAATGTCAAGAAATTGATATTCCATGTCTGAAGAGCACTCCAGCCACACATGATATGAGCAATGAGGTCACAAACGGATGAAGCCACCATCTGAAAGAAGTGCTTATTTTTAGCAAGAATTTCCCTCATATTAAATACCTACCTGACAAATATTTATCAGGTGTCTATAGATACTGGCACTATGTTTGGTGTTGAGAACATGACTGTGAGCGAGACAGACATGGCCTGTCCCACCACAAGTGCATTGTGGGAGGGCAGAATATGGTCCTAAACACACATCAAATAGCTGGGAAACCGTTAGTTATCTGCATGTCAATTAAAATGTGACTGATTTACATTAACTACATAGATCACTCAAAGAATGTCTTTCTGTTATAAAGCAGTCTCTGAATTTTTTTCAGGTAGCTGTCTTCATTGGGATTATAAGCTCCTGCAGGCAGGTCCTTAGCTTATATTACTGTTTATCTCACAGTACTTGCCAGGAGTGGGGCCAATGTATCCATGAATCGGTACCTGAACAGCTTACTACTTAGCTCTTACTACGTAAGGTGGCATGTGCACATACCTGCCTGTGTCTGTAGAGGAGCAGGCAGGCCACGATGTGTGTTGACATAATGGCACAGGATTTGCTAGCAGCTGAAAGACAAACACAAAGCTTTAGTTGTACTTTTTTTTAATATAGCTAAAACTTTTTAAAAAAATCTAAATCTTAAATAGGAGTATCTGTAACTATAAAAGTCCTCTACCACAATTCCCATGAAGGTGATTTATCAAAAGGAAGTTATAACATTATACCGTGTTCTGGGCCATTAGAGACCACTATTCGTCATATAATAGAATTCAGTCTAAGGCAGGTCCACCTTCAATCTAGGATAATGGAACTTAGTTACTGAATGACCAAGAGACCCCTTTATGGAAATACCAAGACCCGAAGTATGAGCCTGTTCTAGGAGCTTTCCAGGACATCCCACTGTGGTGTTTCTTGACTTGCTCCTGGGGGCAGTCTACTGTAACTGTAATATACTCCTCCCAGAGGTATACACCACATTAAAACAAAGGGAGGTGGGAGTGGATTCAAAGTCAGAAAATCTGGGCTCAAAACCTAACTTCTACACTAACTAATGTCATGACTTGGGAAAATTACTTGAATTTGCAAGCCTCAGCGTCCTCAGGGGTAAGATGAGAATACCGCCTAGTTCACTGGGCTGTGAGAGAATGAAATGGACAGGCCTGCCTGCCACAGGAGTCACAGTGATGCTGCTCACTATATTTCCACTTCCCCTTTTCAACCTGGCCCAGAGGCAGGTCAGAGGTAGGGAAGAAGGGGGGCAGAAATCCATTTGAGAATGACTATAGTCCATATCCAATACTCTGAATTTGCAGAAAATTACAGTCATATAAATCAAATATGAGAACGTCTATGGAATAATCTGAAACAAAGACACCACTTCTGAGTATTCTGAGATAAAGAATTCATGAATCCTTCACTCACAACTGATGTTTCCAGTGTTTAAAAAACAAAAGATACCCAGTATTATATTTACAGCCATTAAAAAAAATGTTTAAAAATAGTTTTTTAAAAACATGAATAAGTATTTGTGTTACAAATGGGCAAGAGTTCAAGACAAAACTATAAAAAAGATTTTTAGGGACCAAACAGCAACACGCCTGGTTACTTGGGCAGCATTAAGGATGCATTATTTTTAGCATCCAGAATTCAAGCCCAGGAGAGAGGCATGTTGGATGTGCCTGAGAAAGAATGCTCTGGCCCAGCATGAAGCAAGAGTAGCAGCAGCTGGAGCACAAGGAGCCAGAGGAGGTGAGGGAGCCTTGGCCATAGTGTCACCGGGAAGTGCCGAGACTCGGACCAACCAGGGATGGGCACAGGAAGTGCAGGGCTGCACACCAAGGGACCATGATGCTGCCATGGGCTATAAAGCAGCCTCTGTAACATGACACAACACTGCAATGTGGAACTTCGGAGAGGCTGATTCTGCACTCACCTTGCTCCGCTCCGGGTCCCTCCCACTCACAGTATTTGTGTACAACTATCCCACAGAGAACAGCACAGGCTCCTCAAGTGCTGAACCATTAAGTCCTCAACCTGCATTCCCCAAAGCTAAAGCAAAGCTTTACCTACACAGCCCCTCGATATTTGCTGAGTAATCGTGGGGTCAGAAGGAAAGGGGACATGAAACTATTAACCCAGATGCTGCACTGCAAGTTAGTTCATGGAAGCACATTCGTGAGTAAAAGAGGTAACAGATCACGGTGGCAACGCTGTATACTTTTTAAACCACGAGCACCTACTAATCCTAAGGCACTACTGAGATGTTTTACTCAATTACCCCAAAGCCCCAGAGCACCACCTTCTGGCTAATAACTCACCTATCGCCACCTGTGTACCAGGTACTAGGACTAGAAGTGGAACCACACACAGCAGATTCTGGACCCACGTGGTCCCCCCGCGCCACGCCGGATCTGAGCTGCAGAACAGTGTCTGTCACTGTACTTACTGAAGAGTATGTGCTCAGCCAGGTTCGCAATCAGACTTCTACGGAATGACTCTTCTGTCGCACTGCTGGACTCGTTAGTGGATGTGTCAGTACCTTCAGCAGCAGCATCACTGGGTCTGAAAAGTTTTCCTAAAAATTAGACTTCTCCAACCACCCCCTTTTACAAAACAAACTAGGAACCTAAGATATGAAGGTATGACATACTGTAAATCACTACATATTCTAAATTTAAACCACAAATAGATTATTTCTATGGGTGTTTTCCTTCATGATATACTCTGTTTTCCTGGCCGAAACATACTATTTAGTTATAACAAAACAGTCTATCAGTACATCATTTTTAAAACCCACTGGCTGAAAAGATGCATAAAGCAAGATACCTCATTTTAAAACATTTATGAAGATTTGACACTTGAAAACATTAAAGGAAGGGTTTAATATTCAATCCCTCTAAGTTACAGCTCATTTTGAATTCTGAAAAATTCACACAGAAAAACTCTTATACACTGCACTTATGTACAATGTGTATAATCTAAGCTACTATCAAAAAGAATTCAGTTCAAACATTCAAAAGCATAAATCAAATAAGAACTCCTACCTGATTCACAAAATCAAATAGTTTTTATAATGCAAATAAATCACAAACCTCTGAACTATGAAAGCACATCACTTCAACATCCCTTACAAGACCAAGACAAAGCGACTCAAGCTAGCAAGTGAAAACAAGAGCATGCACATTCTCATTAAAGTTAACCTATTTTCTATGCAATATAAAACATAACAGATATTTGACAGTTTAGTTAGCATAAAAAATTTCCACAAACCTCACCTTGAAGGAAGTATAGCTGGTAGCAAAGCTTGTTCCAGAGAAAGTGGGGCAGTCGCCGGTTTCTGACTTTGGCTTTCTAAATATTCCTGGGGGGGAAAAGTTTACTCTCATTGTCTCACATAAACATATATAAAATATATTCAATCTTCAAAAATAAAAAGGGAGTTGTTTTATGACATGAGCCATGCTACAGAGCATGAGAAACACTTCTTATATCCTAAACTATCCTCAGGAGTCCAGAATGACTCATAGAGTGTTGTCAAATGCAAAATCTAAGAACTGAAAATACAAAGAACAGGATGATGCGTCAGCAAAATCATTTGTAAATTTAAGGAGAAAATTTAACTTTTCTCACATCTTCAGGAAATTATTTGACATTCCCAATATTATTTTTAGTGACAACTGACATAACCATGCTTTTTAAAGGAAATCTGATGACCTGAGGGTCACATAATATTCAAAAGAGCCTCAACCCCAAAGCAAATCGTAACAAGACAGAGAAGCTGTGCAATAGTTTTGTTTTGTTTTCAAATGGTAAGAAAGATGAAGTTCCTAAGATTTGAAAGCACTTACAACCAGAAAGCATCTAGCACAGCAATTAGAATCTTTTAAAATAAACCAGAGCGTGGAACAGGAGAAGCAGAGTCTTTGTCCCTGGTCCCCTGGGTAGTGGGAACTACCCATTCTTCTCTTTCTCCTTAACCAATCTGAAAATCTTAGTTTAAACCTGCCAGGACCTCAGGGATCACCAGTCCCAGGCTTCCTGTGACGGCCTCACTCCTTGGAACATGTGGGTTCTGGGTCCTGCTCAGTAGGGTCAGAGCCCCATCCTGGGCTGACTAGTACTCAGCTGAGAGTCCTGTTTGAAAAACTCTCCCTAAAGTCAATTTAAAAACACAATATAAAGTATCGACATATAAAACAACATGCAAAAATCTCATGAATTTAAAAAAAAAAAAAAAAAAGGAATGTTGAACCCAGTATCTCCCAAAAATAGATATTTATGTCCTTTGTTAACAGGCGTCCTTTGGTGGAAAACTTTGGGAAACGCCATTCTGGACATAGGCCTCACTTTCCAAGAGAAGAAGCTGAGGTGACAGAAGCAGGACTAGAGGCAGGGCCAGCCCCAGACCTGACCGCAAGCTACATCAATGCTTTAGAACAGCTTTGGTCCCACAGACTCTTACCTTTAAGGAGAAGGGCTGTGCGAAATCCACTCTGACACACCCATAGTTTTTCCGTAACATTCTGATAACGCCTCTGGCCACGCTCCAAAGGCTCTCATTCTTCTTAGGTTTCCCCTAAATTCCGATTTTGAAAGATAACATGGTAAAAAAGAAAGCTCACACATATGCAAACATTCTGTTCTCCAAAGAATACAGTTTTTGGTTAGTTTTTGTTTTTTATGGAAACTAGAGGTTCATATTGAAAAACCACAATGAATGAACAGGGAAGATGAGTCTTCATCGGCTGAGGCCTGTCAGAGAATTCTTAGCATTCAAAGGTTCTAGAAGATGGTAACCATGTCATCAGGAGAGATAATTTGGTCAATGAAAAACAAAACATTTAACACTAATTCATTCAGTACCCTATCTACATGATTCTCAAAACTACAACTACAAACTAACAAAGGGTAAAAATGACATAGATGAAAACTATTCTGCAGTTCTCAGATAAAGTACAATGTCAGAGGCAGCTTATCTGAGGTCAGATGATCGCCAGAGTCTGAACACCTAACATTAGACAGCTGAGTATCAGTCAAGCCCCACAGTGGCCTTTAAGCTAATTATTCATTCAGGAAGCATTTACTGAATATTAATGTACATAAGGCACAATGATGGCCATATAATGGACACAGGACTCAGATGTGACCTCATAAGACAGTCAGCATGAGTGGAATACACGTTCAGAACAGACACCTAACAAACTCAAGGAGAAATCTCGTAAGAGATACAGATAATAACCCAGGTCTATTACTTAACTTCCAAAGCCTCTAATTATAAAGTGTCCTTGAGCTTCTGACATATTTTGGGCAGTGGACTTGAAACAAGCACCTTGCCCAAGGCTTCCATGCTAAGAAAGAATAAACTAAATTCCTCTGGAACTCTCACAATGCCAGGAGGAAGGGTAAGTTGGTAAAAGCATTTTGGGAAACTGTTTCGCAGGATTTATTAAAGCTGAACATGCACAGACTTTACGACCCAACAATTCCACTCCTAGGCACATGCCCAACAGAATGCATACATGTGGTCATCAAGAGAAATGCACAAAAATGATCACAGTCAAAAACTAGAACCCAAACTGTATTTCTACGATAGGCTAAGCTATGGTACAGTCATACACTGGAATACTATGCAGCTATGAAAAGAAACAAACTAAGTAAATGCAACATGAATGAACCACACAAACACCTACTTGAGCAAAGGAAACCAGAAGCAAAAAGACCACACACTACGTAATACCATTTATATTGAGTTCAAATATAGGCGCACCTACACTCTTCCTTAAAGAAGTCAAGATAAGTGGTTACCCTTGAGGGGACAGCAATGAGAGGGGCACAAGGCAGGTTCCTAGGGTCCTGATATTTTCTTGAGTTCAGTGCAGGTTATGTGGGTGTGTCCACTTTGTGATAATTGAAACTATGTGTTTATGATCTGAGCATTCGTCTGTAACTGTTATACTTACTTCAACGAGAAGTTTACGAAAAAAGTGACTGCCGTTTCTCAAATTAATTTATAGGAAAAAAGTGACTGCCATTTCTCAAATTAATTTATAGTTGCTTTGTCGACAGGATCCCACCAGTCCTTCTGGCTAAACTTAAAATCTGCACGTAAACAGTCCTAAGCTCTGGCCGCGGCGAGAAGAAGCCACAGAAACCCCCCACAATAGAGACAGCAACTCAGTGTCAAGTGTTCTATTTCCCAGTCCCATGACCACAGCCAGCACTGGTGCATCTAGTCATGTCACTTTCTCCAGGTGCAGTTAAGCACCGTGTCAGCACTACCAGTCAGGCTGACATGGGAGATGGAAGCTGCTCCCCACACATGCCCTGCCATGCTTCCCACAATGCTTTAAAACCAGGTAGTATGGCCCAGCCGGGCGTGGCTCAGCGGTTGAGCATCAACCTAAGATCCAGGCAATCGAGGTTCGATTCCCGCTCAGGGCACATGCCCAGGTTGCGGGCTCCATCCCCAGTCAGGGGCGTGCAGGAGGCAGCTGATCAATGACTCTCTCATCATTGATGTTTCTATCTCTCTCTCCCTCTCCTTTCCTCTCTCTGAAATCAATAAAGATACATTTTTTAAAAATAAAATAAATAAATAAAACCAGGCAGTATCAAAAATATTCCTAATTAATTCTAAAAGCAACAGACTTGAAAGCAAAGAAGATTGTGGGTAGGCAGTCCTCTTACCAGCTGTTCACCATTGTAGTGACCTTCAATAATACGATCATAGGAGATTCCAACGGGTATTATCAAGATGTCTGGGATGGTATTAGAAGACAGAGTATCCACCACAACTGACAAAAGTCCTGCCCGAGCGCAGGAGGTTTTTCCACTCCTGGAGCGTGTGCCCTCCAGAAAAATCTCCAAGAACTGCTGCTGTCGAAGTAGTTCCACTATATGCTGGGAAATCAGGAGAGAGTAAAACATGAATTCAAGACCACTCAACTTAGAGAAGGGTCAGCAAAGTTAAGCTTTAAAAAAAAATATGAAAAGCCTATATAACTTCACTATGGACAAAGTATTTTACTCACATAAACAATAAAAGGACAGCTCCTCTAATGCTATATTTTAGTGATAACAAAAAAACAAAAACAATCATCAAACCCATACCCAAGTAGTAATGGATCAAATAATTACTCAAACAACAGATTTTTAAAAATCTCAAATCTCTCTTCTTCTTCTGCTGTGGTAACTATCACAACGCTCCAAGGGTAATTAGAGATGAGACGTACCCCATGGAGCAGAGCTCTATAGAGAATATCCTTCCGTCCATCCGGCGTTTCATCCAGCCTCCGTCGTATGAAAAAGCCCCCAAGCTTATGGATCAAGGTGCTGTAAGTTCAAAAATGTATTAATTATTTACAAAGAATACTCAAATTCCAAGTTACTTCAGCACTTGCCACATGAACATAAGCCATGCGTTGCTGCAGCCGCCGACAGCGAGCATGCGGACATTCTCCATTTTCCATGTTACTGGCGTGTTTCACTCATTCACATTACTATCCATCAGCCTTTAGAACACCACTCTGCAGGCTGAGGCTCTACTACATCTGCTCCTAGCCAAAAGAAGCCAATTGATACATCACCCTGCAAATTCAATGCTACAGAGTTTAAGAGGATTATGAAATACTGCTAAATTTTAAAACCTTGTCCAGGGTCTCAAGACACTGACCGTTAGACATCCCAAAGTCTGCCTATGGCACATTTACTACAAAATAAATGTGATGTTATAAAAGCTACTTTGGAGAAATTTTCTCAAATAAAGATTACTCAGAGAGTGTTCTGTGAGATAGGATAATTTTATGAAACTGAAACCAGGCATAACCATCTTTTCAAAACATGAAACAAGAATCTGTTTCATGTACCTACACACAGAAATAAAACAATTTTTTTCACAACCCCAAGTCTCTATAATACTGATTTTTTATATGAACTTGAAAGGTTCTAATATTTATGTCAACCTCTCCAAACTCAGAGCTTTCCTATTCTTTCCAAATAGAGTGATATTCATATAAATATAAATGTTTACATATATAAACATGTCAAAAGGTATAATAATAAAAAAAAAGTACAGAATATAATCCTTTCCTCCCCTTAAATGACAAAGCAGGCTCAGCTTACCTGAAGATGGGGATGTTGAGATTGTTGCCCGAAGCGATGTATGGTGCTTTGATGTTATGGCAGAAGAGAATGAAGGTGAGCAGCAGGTAGTCAATGTGTGATCTATGAACCGGTAGAAATATAAGCGGCAAATTCGTCTAGTAAAAGGAAAATGCCAAATTTAAAATTCAAATGATAGTTCAATCACACTTTGCAATTTCATATTTGGTTAGAGGCACTCAGACACCAGCTATTCAGTGACCTGTTCTTTAAAAACATTTTCCAGTAACATGAATTCTTTCAATTTAATAATTATCCAGCTAAAAACAACTACAAAAAAAAGAATAGGGAAGGACAGGAGCAATCCAGAGTTGAAGTTGAGCCCTGGCCAGTGTGGCTCGGTTGGTTGGGCGTTATCTGAGCACCAAAAGGTTGCCAGTTTGATTCCTTCTCTCTAAAAATAAAAAAATAAATAAAAGAGTTGAAGTTGAGCCTATGTATCTCTGCAAGCAGCTCTGATCATGCAAAAAGAGGATAGATTTTGGAGTCAAGCCTGATATGGCTTGAAATCCTGGGCCAATTAGCCATGACTTGGACAAATTTCTTAATCTATCTGAGCCTTTATTTCCTCATGTATAAAATAGGGATTATTCTACCTGATATTCAGAATTGTTGCAAGGTAACTCACTAAAGGAATCCTGCCTCGCTGGCAGGTCCTGCTTTACCCCACTGCTCCCCCCTCCCCACACACACAGCTCTACAGTTATCATCCATGGGAGAAATCTCCCAGATGGGTAGAAATGTACAACAGTATACAAGAGAACATTTTCAAAAGAATTATAAAATCACTCTACAAATGTGAAGACGGCGGAATGACAGATTCCCATATTTCTTGCCTCGGTTGCAGCTTTAACCATCTCTAGTTGACCCTTGTGAATTTGAATGTTCCAAAAGAAGCTATTGAACAGTTTTAGCAGCACCCATCCAGTCAGTCTGAAAGAAAAACAAAAACAAAAGAAATTTAAACGTGCACATGTATGTAGTGTTTGTGACTGTATGCGTGTGTATGTGTGTGCATCTGAATCGTAGAACTGAACAGCTAACTTTACTACTTATAAAAGTATCCATTCGTTATGGACTAAAATCTTATATTTCACTCTTAACAGCACACTTTAGACTTTAGAAACAAATGGCCAAGCAAGTACTTCAGGGAGCAGAATGACAGAAAACCACTCCCTTTAAGACATGGGCATGGGATTAATCTCTTCCCACCCTCCCCCTTTTCTCTCTGAAATACATCAGTCTGTTGCATGTTTCAATGTCTCTGGAACTGTTAGTTTATTTTGTTCATTAGATTCCACATATAAGTGAGATCATATGATACTTGTCTTTCTCTGACTGACTTATTTCGTTTAGCACAATACTCTCCAGGTCCATCTATGCTGTCCAAAGGGCAAGAGATCCCTCTTTCTCATAGTTGCATAGTTTTCCACAGCTTTTTTATCTACTCATCTACTGATGGGTATTTGGGCTGTTTCCAGATCTTAGTTATTGTCAATTACACTGCTTTATGCATATATACAAAGCCAATGGACAAATGGTAGTGTGGTAAGGCTTGGGAAGAGGCGGCAGTGGGGAGGCAGGGGGCCAACAGGGGGCGGGAAAGGGGGACATCTGGAATACTTTCAACAATAAAGATTAAAGCTATTTTTTTAAAAAAAGGCATGTGAAACCTGGCTCATACCAAGTCTAGAAAGCCAGTGTCAGCAGTAATGCAACAACTGCTGTCACTTAACAGAGGTTAAGGCACCTTAAAGCCTACCACAGTGCTATTCCCCATGGAAGACAAGTAAGAATATAAAGAGGAGTTGGGTTTAACATCAGAATAAGTTAAAATATCTTAGACCCAAAGCGTTGCACTAGGAAGGAGAGTCCAATGGTTCCGCCCTATTTGCTCAAAACAGACAGCTCTCGTTGAAAACTTTTTGCCTTGGCTTGTGATACCTTATCATTGCTGGTGAAACAGTGGCAACCATTTCTTCGAGGATCCTTTTGGCTCTCTTTCTCACTTTACTGATGGCCTTTGACTGCTGCTGAGCAGAACCATCAGGGTTTAATTCAGCAGCCACTTCTGCAATGGCATCTTGCACTCTGATTTGAAAACAAAAAGATAGACAATGTAACTGGTTCTGTATTCAGCAATTTGTAAACCAGATCTATAAATCACAAGACAAAATGTACCTTCTCTCTGATATGTGGTTATGAGAGAATAAGCTCAAGTTGGAAGTGATTTCCTTGCTTGTCTATTAAATATTAAGATATTCCTAAAGCAATGAACCCCTGAGGACTCTGGAAAGCCAATTTAGGAATTTAATTCAAATTCACTGAGAAACAGCTATGCAAATTTGAATGTTCCAGCTATGCTGGGAGAAACACAAAGCTGCATTCAGGCAGAAGACAGAAAAAGAAGATTATCCATTTAGGCATATGATGCAGAGGCATCCAAAACCCATTGTCAAAGTAATGTCTAATTTTACTTTTGAAGACCTAATTATTCATGTATAGAGTGACTCTATTGGAACTATATATAAAATCTCTAAGACGGATGCAAGAGGAACATAAATATTTACAAGTGGTTTCAAATAAAACCAATAATTTTTAAAAGGCAGAGCTCAAGACTAAAAGAGCACAGAATAATTAAGCAGTGAGGTACAAGGCAAGATTCTATCCAGTTTAATAAATCTTCCACACGACATAGGGGAGAACGCATGAGGTTAAACCTCCTTCAACCACTTCCAACATTCTAGTTATAAGTCGAAATATCTGGATAGCATGAAACATACTTGAAGGTTTTTACCTAGGAAACAGAGTACAGGATAATCCAAGGGAGTTTCAGATAAATGTGTTTTCTCACACTGTTGCTACTGATATTAGACTCCACACAGCCCACAATTCATTAATACGGAAAGACCAACCCCACAGGGCACCAATGCTCCCTGAGTCTACTCTTTGAAAAGTATTTATTTCAATCTGGTCAGGAATGTTTTCACAAGTAATTGACATGATTATTACATCTCCATTATCAACTATTCATTCATTCATTCAATAAATACTTGAGGACCTATTATGCGCCACCACTGTTCAAGCCTTAACAACCACACCATAGGGCCTGCATTGTTGTGCATCTTTCCGTCCAAACCTGTCTCCAGCTACCCAAATCCCGGTGGATGCGGAACATGGGCGACACCAACAATGTGGAACAGAGACCAACGTTCTCCAGACGCCCTTATTCTAATGCCTGATCTCCACAATGACTCACTTCCCCACTCCACCTGCATTCAAGCCAGTCTCTTCCATTTGTAAGCAGGCTCCTCAAAGAGCAAGGACAGTGTCTTACTCTCTTAAAATCTCTAACAGTGACTTTCTAGTACAAATATGTCTACCCAGGTACTCAATTACTGCTGGACAGAAGTATCAGACTCGCTTCTCTTTTGGCTACAAAGTAGAAAAAAATGCAATGTCTCAAGCATTCATATTTCAGAATGCTAACAGAACTCTGAAGGATGTGCATGTCTGACTCCAACTTGCCTTTCATGTATTCGTTCACTTGTTCACCCACAACACAAGCCTGCCACTCCAGCAGGGCGCTGCTCACCAAAACCACCTGCTCTGCCTTTCCCTGGTTTCTGTGTGGAGCTTAATATTTAACTTGGAAATGCAAATGCCTCCCGAGACAGAATCCCAGAGGCATTAAAGGTTAATAAAGGAAATTGCTTCCTGGCTCCCACTCCTACCGCCCATCCCCGCCACCTCTCCCCTTTACCACAGCGTCCCCACCCTTACCGACTGCTGTTCAGGACATTTTCTGTAACGTTGGTGGCAAACATGCCTTTATGGACGTCTCGCTCTTGAACAAAAAGCACATAAGAAAGACGCCTTGCCAGCCATCCCCGGTGCCTGCAACAGGAAAACCCTTTAGCAGATACATACTCTGGGAACACTTCGATAGTGGTTCTCTCCTGTAAAAACAAGGTCTCAGTTCATCCACTCCTGAGACTGAGCTTCTCCTGTAGCAAACTCTCCTTAGGAGTTCAGACAATTTCATTTCCGATTTCTTTCCTGTACTCTCAGCTAAAATTTAAACTTGGAATTTGTGTATCAATGCCTAAGTAGTGTTACTTTGCAAATAATAACCCAAATATAAAAAAAGAAACAAAAATATCTTAATTAATCCCATAAAAAGAAACAAATATGTTGAATAATATATACATACTATATAGCTTATAGCTATAGCTATGGGCTGTAAAAATTAATTTGGAAGTCTTTTCCTACCACCCAGGGCTAATTTTTTGTTGCTGTTGTTGTTATAGTAATTCTTCTAAGGTTGTATTCTGGGCTCATGGAGCGAGAAGTTCTTAGTCTTTATTAAGAAAAAATATACATATATATATTCAACACACCTAAAGGACAGGTCATATTCCTAGCAGTGACTATGTGTTATCTGGATGAGGGGGTTTGGAACAGGTATCTCAGAATAAGAATGCTACCAACTTTCACTGGCAATGATTTGATACCATTCGTAATGATTACATAATGCCTCACTATCATTTCCTCTGTAAACAGAAGATTTCAATTATAAAGTCATCAATTCTGAAAAGAACCAAAAAGCCCTCGAGTGAGGAAAAGCAACTTGAGGGAGAACTGTTTATGAGTCACAAGTTCCTTCCTCTCTCCTTCCTGATGTTCTGCCTTCTTTCCTTTGTCTCGGTTCTCTGAAAACTTGGCCCAATATGTTAAGTGTTTAATTCTAATTCTTTCTTCAGTGAAAGCTTTCAGAATTATTACTGGAACATACAAAGTCCAAACCCTCTATGAAATCCCTTTGCAACTGAAGGAAAGG